ACATGAGTACCTATGTACATAAATTGATCTCAGTACAAACTCTGAAGATGTTATGTTGAGTAATAATCGCATATTACGTTGCTATGATCATCTAGTGCTACGTTAAATGTTTATTACATCGATATCATCGATTTGATTGTTTGGATATTAAAATAACATTAAGCTATGATTAGAATATTTATAAGTTACTACAGAACATCTTAACCGCCCCAATATGTATAAAAAGGTCTATTAAAACCTAATTCCTAAAACTCAATCAACTATCTGCCAAGTGACTATCTAATTAAATATATTTTTTGTTTATCAGGTGAACGGTGGCAGTGCAGCCGAGCGTGCTGGTCTCCAGGCGGGTGATGCGTTGATCCGAGTAAACAACACGGACGTGTATCTGCTGCGTCACCAGGAGGCACAAGATACTATCCGCGCAGCCGGAGGCAACCTTGAACTCACCGTACAACGGTATTTATTTGAGCAAATTAGACCTAAACATGAGTCTTAACCCTAATCGAGTACAAATGAGTTCCAAAAGTAGATGTAAGTAAAATATATTAGATCACCGACCACTGTTCTATGAACCAACCAATCTTGGATTGTTATTTTAGGCCTCAATAACTTTCTTCTTTCGTCCTTAGTGGCGGTGGCACTTGGCGTCCTACTGTGACACCAACCGGCAGCCTACCGAGACCCGGCTCCAGGCCTATTGGTGGCACTCCAACACTCGTCACCAACACTTCCCTGAAAGCCACACCACAACCTTCACGTGCATTCGGCTCTGGTCACAACAACGTTGCTAAACCTTTTGGTTACGTAAGTATTACCATAAAATGTCAGTCCTTAATGTGACAACATGAATGAACCTACAAAATTCTGAATAGTTCACATTTTTTCACGTTTTACTAACGAGACAAAAGAAAATTCCTCACCTATAAATTTGAATAGAGTGAGAGGTTTATCCACATCTCACTCCATTTCTTCAAGAGTCCATAAATTGCCAGATTACCTTATGTCAATATTAAATTACCTAACACCTCTTTTAACGCTTATGTTAGTGACATTAACGGTTTTGATTGTAGATGAACGGTAACGACTCTGTGAAGAGCATAGTCAACAAGCAGTACAACACACCAGTAAACATGTACAGCGACAAAACGATTGCGGAAACTCTCTCAGCCCAAACTGAAGTTCTTGCGGGCGGCGTACTCGGGTAAATAAGACTTTAAACAAATCTATTTGACTTTCCAAGAAAACTACGAACTACATAGTTGTTAATTATGTCAGTCTAATTTACAAACTAGTAAATTGACACTTCAGATCGATATTGCTACTAAACGAGACTTGTATAATACGTTTAAAAGCACTCTATAAAGCATATTTGAATGGAACGGTCCTCTGATGTCCCATGTTAATGATAACATTGCTAACTTCTGTTTTAGTTAATCCTTTAGTCGGCTGTTAAACGATTGAGTATCGATATTATCCGTATCCATACTTATAATAATTATATCGAAGTTATGAGTCGTATAAAGATATTTTAAATTGACGAGGTTTATTTATGATTGACAGAGTAAACTTTAAGAAGAACGAGAAGACATACGACGCTGAAAAAAGCGCTGTTTTCAAGGTTCTGCAAGAAGAACAAAACGACCCTGAGCCAGGTATAGAGCCTAGTCATTATAATTACATTACATAAAGCTTAACGTGTCTACATAATCAACATCATGATCGATCAGGTAATACGGGAAATACATTGAAAACGATAATTTTTAAATTAATAACGTAAATTATAGGGTATAGAGCTGATAAAATTAGTCAATGAAATTAAGAGCACTTCTTAGTTGTCTAAATTAATAAATTTATGAATTGGCATAAATAGCCGAGCCAGTGGGTCCGACAGCCGCCCAGGCTGCTCCAGTGAGCGGTCTCCGTCACGTGCAAGCGCCCGTCACGCGGCCTGATGCCCCCATCAACAATACTGGAGGCTTGCCCCCTGGACAGAACATTTGCGAGGAGTGCGAAAGGCTCATCACGTAAGTCGGACGATGGGCGCGGGCCGACACGGTAGCACATATCGCAAGCCAAATTTGATTTCCGTTAAGGATTTTAGACTATTTAGGGCGTCGATAAAAGGTTTCGGTAGGATATATAGTTACCTAGGTATGATCGCGCACAGTTCTCATACGATCTGCCAATATTTCTCGGACTCTTATTGTTGGGCAACGTAGGTAAGTTGTATGGTCGTGTTGAGAATGGAAAATAACCCGATATTGCGGGCCAGCAGAGCCTTCTCACTTTTACTCTCGAGCGAGCGTGGCGCGCGCGGGCACGCCGTGCAGCCTGCACCGCACGCACCGCTCGCGCTCGCGCACGCCGCGCGTGGTGAGCACGCCGCAGCCCGCGCCGCCGGTGGCGCGCGCCTGCGCCGGCACGCAGACGCCGCAGGAGCAGCTGGCGCCGGAGCCGCCGCACCGGCCCAGCATCCCCATGGGCTGTCATGAGGTGTTGCCGGACGGCCGCATAGCGCTGGGCGCGCCCGCGCTCCCGCAGCCGCGTGATGCACTTCCTGTCGTCAACGACACGCCCTATTGCTCCGACTGTAATCGCTACATTATGTAAGCGACGTCCCACTGAATGTCTTGCCGTGTTTGCGACCGTGTCGACCTGTGCACTAGTTCTATCGTGTAGATAAATAATTCGATGTGATTCCTTCGTGTTGCTCCTCCCTTTATTTATGTTGTAAATACAAAACGGCCTCGTTGGGAGATGTGACATGTAAGTTAGTACATTTATCGTGTTTTTACGAAACGACACTTTCCATTTCATTATCCGTTATCGTCACGATATTTGTGCTAAAAAGCTCAAATCATTATTCATTAATTAATTGTCTTCATCTATCTCTACCTTCATTCTTTTAGTAGTTAGGCAGAATGATGTGATGTATCAACGCCACTATATATCTTCACGCAGCATGTCCTCACTTCGCTATCCATATTATTTAGATGAGCACCAGTGTAATTTTGCGTGGCAGATTGGTGGATAAGCACGAGCAAGTCGGTGAGCATGTTTGTAGAAAGTAGCAAGTATCTATAGCTCTTTGTTACATGTGTATCTGTATATATTCCAAAATGGGATTGAATGATGTAGAAATATTGATGACATTTTAATCATTGTGCTTAAGTTGCAACAAATCTGATTGATGCATTTACCCTGGCTGTCTTCTGACGAGTAATTCTGTATGCAACAGCGGTGTGTTCGTGCGCATCAAGGACAAGAACTTGCACGTGGAATGCTTCAAGTGCTCGACTTGCGGTACTTCTCTGAAGAACCAGGGCTACTACAACCTGAACGGGAAATTGTACTGTGACATCCACGCTAAGCTCGTTGCTCGCAACAACCCACCAGCGCCCAATCTTGAACCAGTCACCGTTCCACCGTAAGTTAAACTTGTTGTCGTTCTTTGTCGTACTTGGTATCTATTATGAGCAATATTTTAAGATCGTGATGACTTTTGTATCTTATCTATTGGTTTTTGTATCTTATTTATTGGTTTTCATATACAGTGGTGGCCGAATCCCTACCAACACTTACTCGACTCCTCTGCCTCCTCTGGCTACCAACAACTACACAAATGGATCATCATCGCTTTTTAGCGTAAGTATTTTTCTTCTTAAACCTTTATATTACACTTCAGCACTTCTAGAATACATAGTTGTATTTTTTGTCTGTGAGCCTCATAATGATTGATGTTAATTCTGGCAGCCTTCAAGCAACTTGTCGGGCCCGAAACCTTTCGGATCATCGATTGGATCTGCTTACTCGCCATCACTGTCTCCTCGCTCGGCCCCGATGTCGCCCGCGAGGCCAGTAGTAGCGCCTGCCCCTGCGCCCGCGCCTTTAGCGGCTCCTATCTCCGCGCCTCAACCAGCGGCACCATTCGCACCCAGTAAGAGAGTCACTTTTGCTGTATAATCCTAGTCATTCGTACTCTAAAGTACGTCATCTAAAACTATCACAATTGAGCTACATCCGTATTAACGACTACCGTTAAAAGCCAGTCAAATTAGACTCAATCGGAAGATTTGTCTACTATCATAGTGACGCATTTACCGACAGTTTTGGTTTTATCATTTTGAAAGAAAAAGTATCAAATGATTTTTATTCTGGAGCTTATGCCTAGTTATGCTAAAAAGCTGTTAGCATCTTGCTATGATCTAATGATAGCTATAAATTCAAAAATAGACGTTTAACTCGTCGAGTACCGTCATTATAGACACAATTATAGAACAATAGGTTGCGGTCACCGGTGACCGCTTGGTGTTTGACAGTTTAATTAGAGATCCTCTTTATCTCATTCTAGTGGGTTTCATTATTTATTTACCACAGGGCATCCATGTTTTTGCAACGATATTGTGATAGTTTTGGGTGTTAAAATACGGTTGCACAGTAATCTACGTGAGTAAAGTCTAGTCTATGTAACCATACCTGAAAAAATGTAGGTACCTATTTATATTTTTAGACCAAAATATTTTTATAATCATGGTATTTAACTTTTTATACTTTTATATTTTACTTTTTTATATTTACACCAGTTACTAGTTAAGAATACGCATCGAAGTATTTACATTCATACGATTTCATGAATTCATATCATTCTATTGAATAATATGACACCAAACGTCATTTAATAGATCTCTAGAAATATGAGATCAACTCCTCTACTTCATAGTCATGAAATCCTATATCTAGTCAACATTTTCAGTATTAACAATAGATTTTTAGAGTAATACTATTTTAATTAAGTAACCTTAGTTTTGTATGTTTATAGTAACTGTTTGACATTTATTATGCAATTACTCAGCAATTATAAGCTAAATATCGTCGCTACGCATTTTAACATGAAAAGTATAATTTAAAATTATGTTGTGAACCAATTTAGAAACATGTTATTCAAGGATATTATTTATTTTCGACAGAGACCCCAGTTTCCCTTTTTAAAGGTAATTTATAATTAGGTGGAGTACAGCTTATTTTAGCTATTAATGGATATGTATATAATATACAATCATAGTGTGAATGCGCTACGCGGGAAGCCGATATCAATAGCAGCCGCCGCATTACAATAACTGCTGTCCTGGCACTGTATTCTACGTCACTTAATAAAATTAATCATAGTACTACTCTCAATTCAATCTTTAACTTTCTGGCTTCTTTAAAACGATTTTGTTATTAGTTGATTAGCTTACATCAATCTACTGTAAGTGGCTTCTTCAATTTTACTAATATTTACTTTCATCTCTTTCTCCCCTTAAACAATCTTTCTAACTCTATAACCGACTAACAGCACAAAACGTTAAAAGCATTGTGTGGCCCCCTCCAGCAAATCCTTCTGATGATGAACCACCAAAGTATGAACCAACTATGAAACCTGGAGCCCCCGCGTGTGTCAAAGAACAAGGGAGTCGGGTGTTAAACAAAATTAACCCTAACTCTGATTCAAAGATTGCGGATGCTCAACAACAATCTATGGAAAAATTCATAGCGTCTTCGAAACAAAGAGAAGAATTCACTTCTTCTAGTGTTTCATATGCCTCTGCTGCTATGTCTTCTATGACAGCAACATCTAAATCTGAATCTGTAGTTCAGAGTAAACAATCACAAGTGGTACAAGAATCAACTAGTCGAACTATTCAGTCTTTTTCGCAGGAATCTTCTGAATGCCAGAGTACAACTGTTTACCAGACACAAATGTGTCCACCAAAATCTTTTGAAAATTCTAGCGATGCTATTGAAAATATTAAAACACAAATGATCCAATCCAAAGAAAATATTCAGTCAAAATCAGCTAAAGAAGTAGAATCTATCAATATACCAGAACCTCCAAAAGATCAAGTTAAAACACAGGTATCACAAAAGTCAGACATGAAAATGGAAAGCGATAACAGTACTACCATGCAAGAACCTACACATGTTAACACAATAGAAAACAATCCAGTTTGTAATGAGGCGTCGATGCAAAATAACAGTGAAGAAGTTGTGCTAAATCAACAAAATATTTCACATGACACACAAATCAAAACCAGTACAGAAAAAACATATACAGAACAACCAACTGCAAATAATGACTTGAGAGCCAAGGAAACCATGCAAACAACCATGAATCCTTCTACGTTAAATCCAAATGCAAAGGGCTCTATGGTAGATGCATTGACAACTGCACCTGATCGTCCGTATTCGCCCTTGCCTACACCACAGCAGCCTATTAGTTTAGTTGGACAAACAGTGACGGACGAAAATCACACCCTACATGAAATAGACGAAAAATCGGAATTAAAAGAGTGTGCCGAAATAAAGAACGTGCAATTGCCAGCACAACCATCACCAATGTTCTTGCAAGAGAAGCGTGGTATAACACCAATACCACCTATAAAAACTTATAATCCTCCTGAAAAGGTTGCCCCACCCGTACCAATGCCTGAAGAAACAAAACCGTACATACCACCTGATTTTAAAATAGTCATAGAACCTAAGGAACCTCGTGAAACAACCTCGACGCCTTTAATAGAAGCTTTAACGATTGCACCTGATAGGCCATTTACACCCGTTACTACTTATGATCAAAATCAAGCAATAAGTAGAGAATCTTACGATCAAAATCAAACAATGAGTAATGGGCCTTATGATCAGACTCAATCAATAGGCAGAGGATCTCTAAGAGAGGCTTTAACTATCGCTCCAGATAGGCCTTACAGTCCTTTTGGTGCTCCTGGTGTTACTCAATCCAACCAATATATGACAAGTACCACACACGTAACTGAAACAAACTTGACCGAAATTGTAAAGCCTATCGCCACACAAACGCTAACTCAAACATCTGACCAGTTGCATTCAGAATTTTCCACTATGCAAAATACGTGCAAATTACAATCGTCTTCAGAAATGTCTGCATTCAGGCCCGTTCCAAAACAAATATTTCCTCCACCACAGCCTGAAGAATTTTGTAAATTAACAAACTTTCCACCCATTAGTAATGAACTGAAAACCAGTTTTACACAGGCTACTAAAACAAAGCAAGAAACGACATTTTCGGAATCAATGATGGTCCAGCAGTCGTCTTTGTCCACCAGTATGGCCACCCAAGGCTATTCATCTGTTAAAACAGCTCAAAATTATTTTGAACAATTAGACAAAAAAGAATCTCTTACTTCTACCGCAGTTAGATCAAAATCTGGATTACATAAACCAGACAGTATTCCGCCGTATCAGAGAAATTTCGAGCAATTACCTTCTCAGCGAGGAATTTCTCCGGAAATATATAATGCACCGGCAGTTTTACAAAGACCCGTCACTCCGTCAACTGGTACACCAACTAGACTAAAAGAAAAATCCGTTGAACCACATCCAAATTACACTACTCCTCAGGCATCGACTCCAAAGTTCCCACAAATTAGAACACCAGTACAACAGCCTCCTGTACAATTCCATAAAGATACTCCTATTACTATGACATTTCAGCCTGTGACTGATGATAATTTTATGAGAGTTTCTTCACCATCACGTAGTAGTCGTCCTGTTACACCAAATAGTTTAATAAACAAACCAGCACCCATTATTCCTCATTATCAGATGAACTTAGTAACAGTAGAGCATTTGGCACCCGAGAGTCACCTATATGAGCCATCTAGTCGGGAAGGTAGCAGATCTCCAACACCAAAACCACGATCCCGCTCACCAGCTCAAGGTCCTCCTCCAAATCCATTAAAAGCACATGCTCCACGTATTAAGGAACCTGCTTCACAAAATTATTCAATGGACTCGTTTGCCTCACAAGATGCTTCTAATTGGCGAAAGCAGCACGAGAGGGACCAAAAAGAATTCCAGACGGCTGCAGAGATATATAATACAAGTGGTGGTAATAAAAACTGGGCAACACAAGCACCAGTAGTCAAAGAACAGAGACATTCAAACGTGGGATACAAGAGCGAAAATTATACCAAAGGCGACATGAAAATCAAAGAAGATTCTTTAATACAAGAAAATTATGGCCAAAGACAAATGCAATCACAAAACGTTATTGCACAAGGCAATACCACTGTTCAAACAACCAGAAAAACATTTGAAGAATTTGAAAGGACACAATCTGCTAAAGTTGTAGAAATCAGAAAGGGAGGTTCATCAATTACTGGGGCATATGAGCAAAATATGGACTGTAACATTCGGCCTTCTAATCTTAACCCAAAGCAAGTGTTTCCGCCTCCAATGATGAGTTTGCCATCAACACAACAAAGTTCATCACTTAACCTTACTAATCAAAATATGACGTCCGCTAGTAGAAAAATAGACAATTACGATCCAAAGCCTTCGATTTCTGGTGCTAACCAAGGTCCAGTGTGTGATCCTACCCCATCGACAGGTTCGAGTGTAGGAGCTGCCGCTCGTGGCAAAACTTTCGGTGTGTCTTCTGCCCCTAAACGAGGAAGGGGAGTTTTGAATAAGGCTGCGCTGCCCGGCTCCCGTGTGCCACTATGTGCTTCCTGTAATGGGAATATTAGGTGATTTAGACGTATAAAGTGTGTTACTGTTTTGAGTGCTGCATGAACTAACTGTGTGAAGTTGTGAATGAGTTTGTTATGGCTATACAATAATTATTGTAGTGTTATTGGTTTGTTTGTTCTTTTATTAGTATTTAGAAACTGACGTAATTTTCCTAGTTATGCACTAATTTAATCGTATAATAATTCTGCTTTTAACTGTTTGTATAAGTGTTGTTTTGATTTTCTAACAGCTAATGAACCGCTGACTACGAGCAGTCCTCACAAAACGGAGTTCAAAAGTCCAGCAGAAGAAAGACTTATCAGAAAAATGGCTAAAATGGCTCTGAATGGTTATGAAATCGGTATTCAAAGAAAAATAAAACCAGCAGATCACATTCAGTCAATGGCAGATAAAATTCAAGACACTGTCGTAACCAAACATCCACTCAATTCCGATAGTATACCACCTGTTGAAAACAACACTATAAAAACTCTAGAACGAGGTTACAAGACACATGAGAATATTCAAAGCATTGGCGACAAAATCAAAGACACAATTAGAAATAACCATCCCGCAAATGAATCCATCACTAAGCCTAACGTCTTGATACCGCCACCACTGCCTACCACCCCAGTACCTACATTTAATGTTCACAGTACTCCACTTGGTCATTCAATAAATACAAATGGCGAGAAAAAGAAATATGATACTATACCCAGAACATTAAATGCAAGTCTGATTTCGGATGAACGTTTGATAAACAATAATGACAAGTCTCACAATGGTAGTGGTTACTCCAGCACTGAAGACTTGCAAAAGGATAAAATTGAAAACAACTATTTGGGTACATTACGAAAAACTGGGATAGAGAAATCTTCATTTCTTAACAGCATGAACGGTTCAAATGTTGCTAATACAAATTCTGATGTAAAACCTGAACTAAAATTTGATACCCCTTATTCTAATACCTTAAACAAACGAAAATTATTTGAGAAATCAGACAACTTGATACCGAACAATAAAGTTAACGAAAAAATTAACAATGCTAGTGAGTTAAATGTTTCGCAGAAAATTAATAATTTTGACCATACTTCAAAGAGTGAGAATGGAGTCCATCAAGATGACGAACTCATCAAAAGCAAAGAAGTTTCTGGACAGTTATATAACAATTCACTTTATACGTACAAATCCCCTACAAACAATAAAATAAATACAAATGGCAATGAACAAAGTAATGATTGTGTCGATAAAGTTGAAGAAATTAAAAGTATATCGGACAGTGATGAAAAACAAAATACCGAGGAAGAGGTTGTTGTCAGACGTAGGCAAAAGAAAAATATTAGAAATGATGATGGCAGAAGAGATTCACATATAATTGCACGTCCTTTGAGTACAATACAATGCGCAGATGTTGCTGAAGGACTTTATCCAGTATGTCACAAATGTGACAAGGCTATAACGAGGTAACGTAATTTTTTTAATAGAAACTTATAACGTATTCCACAATTTATTTGCCAAGTAAGTTAAGGTAGAAAATGTTTGTTTTTCTCTGTTAAAAAGCACGGATGTTGTTTTTTTTTAACCAGATTAACCACGTGTTATTGAGTTTATTTAGTTCACAATAATTTTGTGATTGATAAAAGACTGATAACAATTCATATATTTATACAGGGGGCCGTTCATTACGGCTTTGGGTCGCATCTGGTGTCCAGAGCACTTCATCTGCGTAAATGCAACGTGTAGGCGTCCCCTACAAGACATTGGTTTCGTTGAAGAAAATGGTCAACTCTACTGCGAATTCTGCTTCGAGCAGTACATTGCGCCTGCTTGCGATAAGTGCCACGCCAAAATTAAGGGCGTAAGTTCATAGATAATATTTTATGAATGTTTTCTACGAATTTACAAGTTAGTCAGTTGTAATTCATATTTTGTCGTGATTCCAGGATTGCTTAAATGCTATCGGCAAGCACTACCACCCTGAATGCTTCAACTGCGTCTACTGTGGAAAGCTCTTCGGAAACAATCCCTTCTTCTTAGAAGACGGTCTTCCGTATTGTGAAGCTGGTATGCTATGGCAATAATTATTTTTTTGTTTATCCTAAATCAGCGTACCTACTATATTTTACTGTGTTTGTGAAGGAGATTTTATAAAGGGACTTGTTTTCTCAGATTGGAATGACCTGTTCACGACAAAATGTTTCGCTTGCGGCTTCCCGGTGGAGGCAGGCGACAGGTGGGTCGAGGCGCTCAACAATAACTACCACAGTCAGTGCTTCAACTGCACGGTGCGTATGATGAGACTCCTACTAAAATACACATAAACACACACACAATTCAATTACTCAATACCGATATATTTTTTTAAATACATAAAATAGTCCAAATCTCAAATAACGCGCAATGCTTTTTACCATAGCGCAGAAACAGGTATAATTTGGCATACATGGACCCAAATCACTAGAAAATTACAAATAATCTCTTCTAGATTAAAATAGCTGACGCAATTTATTATTCCTGTATCGAGTTTATATTGCACATTTTTCAAGCGAGTTACCTTATTCATTTTACAGCATATATTTTATAGCATTTGCCCTATAACCATTCCATATATAAATAAACCGAGTTACTATAATTATTATACTCATAACTTTGAAACCCATTTTGAAGGTTTTACTGACACTTCATTTGGATTATTCTAAATAATATTTTATTCAAATTCGGGAATGATGACGCAAAATTTACTGAAGCATTAAAGTTGAATTCGATTACCACGTCAATATACAAAGCTCGTCATACGCTGCCAGTCTGCTCCCTTTTTACCAATAACAGTGACCTTGTGTGTGCGTTAATTAAAATTATGTTATCATATCTGTATGTTCTGTTTTGTAACTGAGACATGTACATATATACCAATTTAATATATTTATACCCAACTTCCCAAAGTTCAGGAAGTTTATCATAGCGTGTTTTGATCCATGTAGTATCAACCTTACATAATCTGCTTGTAGAAATGCTTTCATGAAACGGTTTGAGTAGTTTTGGCTATTTTATGTATTTAATTTATATTATTTATTATGTTTTATGTTCTGATAATAGTATTCGTGTTGTTATGTTTTGTTTGTAAGTAGTTTTTGTTTGAGTTATATAAGTTGTTGGATACTTCCTTAAATACGTTTAAATGCAGTGAAATCTAGAATTAAATTGTGACAAATAATACGATTCAGAAAATACATTCATTGTAACTGCAGTGAATTATTTAATATTATCAATATTGTGTTATTTACAGGTGTGCAAAAAGAACCTCGAAGGACAGAGTTTCTTCGCCAAGGGAGGGCGACCTTTTTGTAAGACACACGCCCGCTAGAAGTCCTCAGCAAATGATGTATAATTCCGACACTGTTTATACGACTACCACTTTTCGTCCCGTTTCTCCTTCTCCCATCACTCCTCCTCTAAACACGCCTTCTCCGCAAAGAACAAGGAAGTTGGAAACACCCCTCCACTTCGATGGAGGACTGTTTTCCGACATAAGAAGTACAGACGGCAAGCTACTCAGCAAAGTAACCGTAGATCGAGTTCAACAGTCGTCACGACATGACATCTCCGACTCACCGAGTGTTTTCACCGATGGCAAAAATTATGTGGATGACATGGTAAAAACTGAAACTATAACAAATGAAAACGTCATCACGGTGAAATTCACTCCCGTGCCGCCAGAACTTGACTCTCCGAGATTGCTGACACCGTCTCAGATGTACAAAACCCGACAAAAAACTCCAGTTGAATATATCAAGGACAACTTTGAAGACTTACACAGCTACAAAATTGTAAGTTCTGTTGTAAAAGAAAAATTGCTAGAAAAGGAAAACTTGAAGCCAGTATTAAATGACGGTGGGATCTTCGAAAACCATGACACCTTTGCAAACACCATACTCAAAGAAAATGTATGCGAAAGAGACAGTTTCGTATCAGATTTAAATGTTGAGGAGAAAATTACTACCAGCTTAGATACTTTTGAGCCAATAAAGAGGGCTCCAAGTCCACTCGCAAATCTTTTCATTTCGGAACAATTAACTAAAATAGACAGTTACTTACAAGAGAGTTTAGAGGTGTGTTCTGGAGTTAAAGATCGCTATACTCCAATACCAATTATTATCGAAGGAGAAAAATCGGGATCGGTTGACAATGCAGAAATGGTTTCTTGTGTTAAAGAAAATTATGAACAACAAGAAGTACGCTTCTCTTCAGAAGAAAATAAACTAAGCTCCAGTGAGGGCGAAGACGAACCTCTTTATCGTCGTGACAAAACAACACCAGAACCTTATTCTGTGGAGCATAGCAAAACCAATGTGTCCAAATTAAACAGTGCAAAACATCCTGGTGTGCTGAGTGCTATTTATAACATGCCAATACATTATCACGCAGCCATACTGTGTTTCTTATTAATTATATACAATCTCATATATCAATACGTAAAACAAAACTGTTATGGTAGTAAAAATAAAATTGAGTGAAATTGGACAAAAATATATGCATACTAAACTAGTCATTGAGTTCAGGGACATTTTGTTTCTATATATTTACCAATTTGATTTTATAAGGTGTAAATAGTTACAGGTAACAAGTATTTCTCGCGTATTTTTTGTATCAATAATACCTACTTTATAATTAACAATTTGGTGCTTTTCACTACTATTCTATAAATTGCTGGCAGTATTTGTGATATTTCACATTATTAAATAAGGCTTTGTATACAGCTTCCGGAATGTTGCAGTAAACTGTTACTAACATTAACAGTAGTCCTTAAACTTTAAAATCCACAAAGCGGATATCGGAAATAATATAATAGAATTGAAATTCTAAATAAATGATTGGTGCACCAACATACAACCTATTTAGAATAGTATATTAAATGTACTCATAAACTTTATATGAAATTTTAATATTATATTCATGCATTAATTTGTTTAAGTTCTTTTTTACCCTGCTATTTGTAATAATATTATGGTAGATAAATAAAATTTTCGCAATCTTATATTTTACAGTTGGTAATAATATTAATATTAAGAACTATTTATTTAGACTTACTTTATTGCAATTAGCGTAACACATAAACATTATGTGGGCTTAAATAAAGTATTTTATTTTATGAACTTATCCTTTTATTACCCTTTACAATTTAACGTGTTATATTTAATATAGTTTTTTTTTACATTTTCTACGTAGAAGAAAGCTGGTTTTTCTGTATGATTGCAAACGTCCTATACTCGATGGACAATTGGCCGAAGATCGAAGGGCCAGGTTGACGAATGACAAAGTTTCGTGGCTTCGATTTACCCCATATTCGAACAGTTATTAAATAAGATATGAGAAAACACGACTACCTAAATTAGAAAAATTAGGAACAAATCTAGACCTTAGGAAGGTTGCAGACTTGAATCTCGATTGATACAATAAAACTGTAAATAGCTAAACAACAATACCAAAAACCCTAAAGATTATACCAGAATAAAGCCAGAAAATAACATAATCTATCAAAATGTAACATCCGTTTTTACCAGTCTTGTTATAATCTTACAAGGACCATGTAGTTCCTCATCTGCCTTATCCTATAGATCTTAGCTGTAACATAAACCAATAAGTTATTTTTCATAATAACTATCGTAAGACGTAGGTCCTAAATTAACTAAAAATCGCCGGGTTACTGACGTGAATATACTGAGAAAAGCTCTACTAGTTTCGAGCCACAGAGGGGGCTCTTCCTCGTAAACAGCAGGCGCGGTCGCGGCTATATCGCGGGCAGTAGGCCACGCATATATTTTAGTCAATAAGGTATATATTATTAGTCCACTGTGTGTACGTACGAACATAGATAGTAATGGTTAACTGTTATAAATGCCTATATATGTAGCCTTTATAATTATAGGTGTTAGGTTGGTTTATGTAGGTGTTAGGTTGTTCATTTAGACTGGAATCGAAAATTACCTTTAACAATTAATTGTGTAAGTAGGTAGTTGTTTGTTTTGGAAATTAGCACATCCAACCGTTCGAACTAAAAGAAGTACTTTTGTGTTGGATAGTCTGTTTATCAAGGAAGACCATAAAATGTTTCAGGCTATAGTAGCAAGCAGCGAGTGAAAAAGCGCGGGAATACAAACGCTGTAAGCATTTAAACTGTCAAACACCAAGCGGTCACCGGTGACCGCTTGGTGTTTGACAGTTTAATGACGGAACAAAGTGTACATCACACCAATATTCAGTTCAAATTGAAAATAACTTTACTATAGTTGGTTACTTTCAGCTGAGATTGGTTGCCTTACCTTACCCCAAAATAATTAAGAGATATGTACAGTAATCATAATCAGTAAAAATAAATAAGAATATATTTAAACATTTTTAATTCTTACTACACATAATTAAATATTTATTACAAATAATATTTTCTAATGACTACCTAATATTTACAATTTACATTATTTATAATCAAGACTGCACTATCTACTACTAAAAATTGTTAACCTGTGGTATACACACAACACACACACCTATGCAAGATCAATGTGTTTTCTATTGTGTCTCATATACCGGCCTACAAGAGGTTAATAATAGAAGTCAACGAAAGTCTTCAAAAATATAGATATTGTACTACTATTATCAAGGTACATAGTTTTATTACCTATAGTCAGATGTTTACATGAAAAGGTTCTATTGTCAACTATCTTCTGTCACAGAGTTCGGGTCTTTCACAAAAACACTTTCTTCATCAGCTCCAAACAAAAAGGTTTTTATCCTGAAAATGAGAAATCAGAATTTTTTATTTAGTTCAGTCATCATTGCAAGCTTGTGGCCTGTGGCAACTCACTACTGGACTATGGGCCTTGCTGCACAACTAAAGGACTTGCTGAAGTAGAGGGGAGGGCTTCCTCTTATGCCACTAAATCCACACTCAACAAGCAGGTTGGATCTTTATCCAACCTGCTTGTTAAGTGAACCTTCTTTGAACTTTCTTTCTGCTTTGAACCTTTGTTCAGATTTATCAATTTCCGAGTTGCCGCTCAGTCTTTGCTAAATGTGTAACCCCTTAGTGAACTCTTAAGAGTATACACTCCCACTGGTAAAAGGATTCTACTTTGCCGTCACCCACATATTAGATCGGTTATGCATATCGGTAAATATTACAGAAGTTTCTTTTACAAATGCAGTGCAATCTAAATGGATTAAATAGCAATAAATTTAGTTTTAGGATCAACAAACCTGAAAAGCTTGCTCTGCAATAAACATATTTGACTTAACTTACAAGTTATAATAAACTTAAAATTATGTAAAATCTCTTACCTTTTCCATTCGATTCCTAAACCTATGAAAGAAAATGTTAGGAAACCATGCCAGAGTGTGGTAATAACAGGTATAGGTTGTCTCTTATGTCCAAAATTTTTAAATGATCTTTGACTTATTATAGTAACCGGTTTAAAATGTCGCAACATATCGAAATTATTGTAATATAACTTTTTACTTTGTAAACAGAATTATAACCTAAACACACTGACTGAAGGCTTACTTGAATTTGACAGATTTCACATGTACAGTATACGTCAACTGTCAAAGTTATATAGAGTGCGTTCAGAAGTTCGGTTCAGAGATGATAGGAAAATGGTCTGTTAGACTTCTCAAATATTTTTGTACCCTCGAAGTTTTTTCGTTGTTTTTTTTTAAGGGCTGAAAATCATCAAATGATTGCTCCCGCTTGGGTGAGGTGGGAGGGAGTTTCAGACTCTTACTGACTAAAAACCACCCTGTTCCTTCTCCTGCACTTCGAGCCGGAGTCCCGGTAACCCGTTAGGTACTCCGCGACATCCTCGAAGGGGTAGGTAGGCAGGGATTTACAAATCAGTGTGAGAATGTCATGCTTCGGCACAAATAGGCCGGTTCAACAATCCCAAACACCGTGCTATTATTATTTTAATTTGTAAAAGACAAATACAATACCTAATGCTTTCCCCGAACTGGAAGCCAAACTCCCTAACTGTTTTGCGAGCTGGACACTGCCATGTCTGCCATTCTAGAAATCATAAATGCTCAAAATCATAACAGTGTGAACTCGGATGCATAGGCAGTTAAGTAGGTACCAACCCCTATACTTATGTCTTTTTTATTTCTCCTTTCTCTGTATATAAATATAGGGGGGGGGGGGGGGTAACAAATTGCATGCCCTTAGCTTCTATTTATGGTAGTACTTTAAGCAATGTAGTTGCCTTGAAGGTGATATTTCCTCTTTGGGGATGATAAAACGACGTGCAAAAGATGGGAGCTTTTTTGATAAATTTTGATACTACATATACTTTGGATTCATTTTGAGTGTATATAGGAAATATTATGAAAAGTTTTTGAAAAAGAAAGTGTTGTTACTTTTATGAGTCAACAAAAACTTACTGTTAAAAATAAAAATCATACATAATGTTCTTAAGTTTTATATTCAAAAGGCGGGCTTATCAAACTAACAAAACAATACAGGTACATAGATGTTAAAAATACATGTTATTGTATGTTTTCGCACCTGTTCGTATTACTTACTACAAGTGTAAGTCTATATTCATTTATCAATTAATCTTATATTTAGCCTATGTACACAGTATAGTACGTAAAATACACATCTATTTACATCAACACTTATGAAAATAAATCATTCAGAATTATAAAGTTTTCAGTAAATAAGTATCATTTAAATATAACAAAATTTTGGCCCCAACAAAAACTGGATTTAATCAGAAATTAAATAGTTTGTTTGAATAAAAAAAATCAACACAAGTCAGAGCATATATCAATCCAGTATGTAGTGTGCAAATAATAAAAAAATAATAAGTCAGTACAGCATCGGAATAAGTAGGTCCTAAAAACCAACTAGGTCAGTAAAAATTAAGTAAAAGCCTAAGGAAGTTATACTTACTGATTGACTAAATTAATAATTACGTCTAATAAAATGTCAGTGTAAAATAGAACGCAAATAAGTTTTCAAAACCTCATAAACAATTAATTGCGCATTTTACCAAGATTCAGTGGAGCCAAACCCACTCACACATTCATGTCTAGGACACAATAGTCAACACTCTAACAAATTTGATAAACAGCAGACATTACAGATTAGTTTCTGAATTAACTATTGTATGAAGTTATGTAATACAGAAATAATACAAGTACAGGTGGCAATAAAAATAAATACCATCACTATGTGGCGGAATGCGAAGCTGTATCGATAAAACTACGAGCTAAGCCAGTAATATCGACAGCCAAGTAATTATGGTGCTTATCACAAGCACACAACTATTATGGCCCATGAAAGCAATTAAATTAATCTAGTCTTCAAATTTTATGGAGTGTACACCTGTATCGATTGCGCCACCGCGATATGAACCCCTCTTTTTCTTCGTCTTCTCATGCTTGAATGACTTGCCACGTGTATGTTTTAAGTCTTGATTAGCACGCTCACCCCATGACCCACGTGAACCACTCTGAAAAAAAGGTTATTATGTTAATTGACCAACAACACTTCGTTGGTGTAGTCCGCAAGCGCGACTATCCAGCACAGGGTCTTGTGTTTAATTCTAATAGTTTTAACCTTTACTATATATCATGGGATTCATGGCAAAACTAAATATAAACATAGTGAAGAGGGGTCTGTAGAAATTTAAATTTCTAGCACTGGTTATCAATTTGGGAATTTAACATTATGTTTCTTTAGAATAATAAATTTACCCATCCAATACTTTAATAGTTGTCTAATGCAAAACATATTGTGGTGAATTAAATTGATGAGGTAATCTGATTGCACATTATATTAAAATAATCTCACCTATTTACTTAATCAAATGTTATTTTCTTGTTTTGAGCATTATCCCCTCCCTCAAAACTTTTTCGGTCGTTAAAACTTCCTTTGTTGAATCCTCCCCTATCTCCACCCCAGGAGTGACGGTCACCACGACCGCCACGGCCACGACGATCTCCGCCTCCGCGGCCTCCCCTATCGAAACCACCGCGACCTCCCCTATCGAACCCACCACGACCCCCTCTGTCAAAACCACCTCTGCCTCCACGTCCACCTCTGTCATTGAAACCGCCGCGTCCACCCCTATCGCCTCCACGTCCACCTCTGTCATTGAAACCGCCGCGTCCACCCCTATCGCCCCCGCGACCTCTAAATCCTCCTCTACCCCTATCATTGAAACCCCGACCCCCGCGGTTGAATCCGCCACGTCCACGCTGGTTCCAACCTCCAGATTGGTTTTCTTCTTCCTCGTCGTTTTCTTCGCCTTCATGGCTTTCACCCTCCTGATAGATAGAAGCGCTTATTATAACCAAGACAACCCTATGTGATGCTGATGAAGTGTTTTCAGAAAAGTAAATGCCCAAAATGTTATAGCAAGCCACTGGCAATGAAGCCTTGGGCCAAAATGTCCAAGTCAGACATAACATTGAGTTGCCTTGGCTTCTCAAACTTTGGGGCATTTACCTTGGCGTCGAACGAGTTATCCTTAAGTCTAGGATCCACTTCTATAGGTTGCGACGCCACTCTTCGGAAGGGAGCTGGCTTACTCACTTCATTACTTTTTTCTTTGGGAGTTGATACACTAACTGTACCCTAAAAGTTATTATTCATTAAATTTAATTATTTTTACCAACATAGAGTTGCAAATAAAAGGATTCCATAATTTCTACTTGCATGAAATTATTAACAAGTATTGGCTAGTAATAATTATGGTGATGGTACTAGTATTCATTCATAAATGTTAATAGTACAGGGACTTCACTGTTTTTGCATTTTTTATACAATTGTTGTAGTTTAAACAATTATTTCACCTTTACGAAGTTGCTGTAGGGTTTTTTAGCTGGAGCATTTGAATCACCTTCTGATGCTTTCCTTTTTTTTCCGGTTTGAACTCCATTTTCAGCACCCTGGAAAAAATTTGTTATCATTCAAGTCTATCCCTCATTTGAGTTGTTTAAAACAGAACAAAGAATAATTAGTGTTAAAAGTATTGATATTGTACTATGTATAATTTTACCTGATTATTGGAATCTTTTTTTGATATTTTAGCAGGAGGAGCATCGTCATCACTGTCGTCACTGTCATCAGACGATTCAGCTTTCTTGGCAGGAGCAGCTTTTTGTGCTGGTTTCTGTTTTGGTTCATCATCATCACTTGAATCATCATCTGACGACTCTTGTTTCTTTGCTGCAGGTTTTGGTTTAGTAACACTGACAGGTGTTTTAGGAGCAGGTTTTGAAGGTTCCTCATCACTATCATCACTGTCATCTGATGATGATGCTTTTTTACCTGCCGCCTTTACAGGAGTTTTAGCTGGAGTCTTTGCAGCTGCTTTAGGTTTCTCATCTTCACTACTGTCATCACTATCTGAGGAAGAATCCTTTTTAGCTGATGCTTTAATAGCTGGTTTAACGGGAGTGGGTTGAGGTTTCTGGAGAGCCTTTTGGGGCTTTTCATCTTCATCGCTGTCATCACTGTCATCCGAGGACTCTTGCTTTTTAGCTGGTGTTGCTTTAGGTTTGGCAGGGGTTACAGCAGGTTTTGGAGGTTGCGTCTTCTTGGGGTTAGAATCTTCGTCACTGGAATCATCTGATGATGATTCTTGTTTTTTAGCAGGTGTGGCTTTGGCTGCTGGCTTAGCAGGAGTACCTTTCACAGGTGCTTTAGGTTTTTCATCTTCACTGTCATCACTGTCATCAGAGGATGATTCCTGTTTTTTTGCTGGAGCTGCTTTGACTGGAGGCTTTGCAGGTGTAGGTGCAGCCTTCTTTGGAGCTGGTTTTTCGTCCTCACTATCGTCACTGTCATCCGAAGATGATTCCTGTTTTTTGGCTGGGGCTGCTTTAGCTGGAACCTTGGCAGGTGTAGGTGCAGCCTTCTTTTGAGCTGGTTTTTCATCTTCACTGTCATCACTGTCATCAGAGGATGATTCTTGTTTTTTGGCTGGAGCTGCCTTGACTGGAGTCTTTGCAGGTGTAGGTGCAGCCTTCTTTTGAGCTGGTTTTTCATCTTCACTGTCATCACTATCATCTGAAGACGATTCTTGTTTCTTAGCTGGAGTTGGTTTAGTTTGAGGTTTGGGTGCAGGTTTTGCTGTGGCTTTTGGTTTTTCATCTTCACTGCTGTCATCACTATCCGATGAAGAAGCAGGAGTTGCTTTTGGAGGAACTGCCTTAGCCTGAGGTTTTTGTTGAGGTTTAGGTGTTTCATCTTCACTACTACTATCATCTGATGATTCTTGTTTTTTAACTACTTTAGGTGTAGCATTACTGGGCTTCACTGGTTGCTTTGTTGGCTTAGCTGTGGCATTATCTTCACTATCACTATCATCTGATGACTCTGCCTTTTTAACCGGTGTAGCTGCTACTTTTGGTTTGGCCTAAAAACAAATATTTTATTGTGGAGTTCTGATCGAATTTATATCTGGTACATAATAAATATTTTATAAATCAGAGGTAGTGACGAACAGTTTAGTTTAAAATCATAGGCTTTCATTCAACAGTTCTCATCATTAAAATCATTACAAAAATTGTTTAAACAAAATATTTTTAATGAACTTACTTGTGTCTTGGGGTTCTCATCTTCAGAGTCGTCGGAGTCAGAAGAATCTTGACCTTTTTTAGGAGCAGCAGCCTTGCCATTGACTTGAGCAATGGGTTTTTTCTGTGGTGCTTCATCTTCACTAGAGTCGTCATCAGAACTATTATAGAGAAATAATAGATTGAGTTAAAATATATTTTAACCTTTAAGTTTTGACTTATTTCATTATGTTGTACAACCAAACCCACAGTAGTACCACGGAATATTGTGGTACACCAAAGCATGTAGTATAATACTTTTCCTTTTTTCTTGGTTTCAAGTAGTTTGTTAAACAATGTGAACATAACCTTAAAAATTTATAAACTAGATTTACCTCTCAGCAGCTTTTTGGGGCTTCTTGTGTTTGTTGTATTCTGTTAATATGTCTGTGAGCGAAGGTAGACCCTTGACACGCGGTTTCTATAATTAAGAAAATAACCTATTAATATTTACGAAAAAAAACAAACTGTAAATAACATTGTGAGTCAATTACGACATGTTGAACAATTTGAATACAGATTTTTATTGCCTAATTATGTCTTAACAATATTAAGGCCAATATCACACTTTATTTGGCAATAAAAATGAGAATTTTGACGGAACTTCGGTCAGTGCTGTGAAATACAGGACACCATAATGGTGTTAATACACATATAATTATTACGTATGTACACCGCAATGAATAGAAAGCACTTTGGAGATATATCCTTAAATGTAGATGTTGAAACAGTCCAAACCCTAGATTTATTTACTACTTTAACTTGGAATAGCAAAAATAGCAACGGTATTATAATGTTTCGAGCACGTGTGGTGACCGGTCACACGTGGTTTTTCGACATTGCAAGCACTTACCGCTTTGGTTTTCTTCAAAAACTCTTGAGCCAGCGACTTGTCAATATTTTGTAGGAATTGATGTACTATAGAAATAGCTTCTGTTTGTAATTCTGCAGGGACACCCATTTTTGAGATTTTTTTAAAACTTTAATCGCACGGCTACGCACCGCCGCCGCTTGTCACTAATGAACGAATGAATGAAAATGATCAATGAATGAATGAGATAGACAGGCAGGGGGCCAGAGACCAGAGAGGAGATCAAAGATCAGGAAAATGGGAAGACTGGAGTAGACAAACAGACAGACGGATCACAAAAACGAATATTCTGAATGTCCATCCTACCATGCTACCTACTGTTGAGATATTGAGTAATCTTACTTACTTTACTTAGTTTGTTACTTACATAATACGTAGTTTGTTTGTTTGTTTGAACGCGCTAATTTTAAAAACGACTGGACTGATTAGAAAAAATATTTTTATGTTGGATTTATTGAGCATTTATCGAGAAAGGCAAATAATAAACAACATAACTCGACGATCAATTGGTGTCGAGCAGAGAATAAAAATTCTGTGATAAGTATTTTCATGGAAATGTGACTCGATGCAGAACGGTAAGGAATATAATTCCGTACGAATTTCACTCTGTATATTTTCTGTATTATGAGTGAATATGGTCTTAAATAAGTTTTTACCCTCTCAAAAATTCAAAAAATATTAATATTCAGGAACATTTTTTCAGGAACACTTTTGTTATTTTGTTGAACTTTTCTTTTTAGACCGGATTCAATACGTTGGTTCAGTCAATATCGGTCAGATGGCGTTTCTGGTCTTGTCATGTCATTCGCATTCCGTAATGAATTTTGTATTATCTATGTAGTGCTGTAGTGTGTGTATTATATTTATGTGATGACAAGTAGCTAGCAGTACCGATAACTTTGGTTGACGATTTATTTTATGAATTTTGTATCTACTCTATTTCATAATTGCAGTGTATTAAGTAAGAGATGTAATGTGAAAACAAATCATCATTAACAGTGTACATACTTATTAAATTAGTACTTAGTAGAAGTTACTTAATAGATTGAGATGTGAGGTGACATGTTTTTATATGTTTGCTTTGTCGATGTTCAATGTGATCGCGAAGAAAATCTCTGAATGTTATGTAGGCTCGGTTGAGCATTAAAAATATACTATACCATAATGCCTGTTCAGCAAATTAGTGTGAAGAACTCTTCGGATATTGAGAGTTGGGAATGGGGAGGAGGATGTGGTAGAGAAGTGATTCGTACGGGGTCAGGGAGCAGCCGCACGTCATGTAGCAACTCCAGTGGTGATATATGCCGCATATGCCATTGTGAGAGCGAGCCTCACAATCCTCTCCTAGCACCATGTTATTGTTCAGGTCAGTAGTAGTTTTGATGCCATTGTTCATGTAACTAGCTTATCCAGCAGTCTTACACGTCGTAAGAATTAAGCGTAGTACACAGCTGTTCTCTGTTTACATAATGTTATTTGACACAGTTCAATAGAATTTTTAAGCCAAGAACATAGCCCAGTACTTTGAAGGGCAAATGTTGAAAGTGTAAAAATCAATACAGTTAAATTAAGTGAGATAAACATGTACTGCATTTGAGAGATAATATTTACCTTTATCATCTAATCGAATATGATGCCATGTTAGTGTAGTGTAGCAATAGTTTTGTACAATGTGAGTTCATGTTGGAGTCTGCACTTATTGTTGGAATATTGGTCTCACATTGTACATAATTATTATAGACAGTTATGAAGGTAAGGAAAACCATTAGTGATCAGGAAACCTATTGTATTATTATTTAGTTGAATTAAGGAAAACTTGTAAGTTGTAACATCACAATAGGTATCCAGTTAGTTAAATTGTATGAATAATAAAGCTGAATATTCCAAATCATATACATTATCCCTGGATACATATGATTTAATTAATAATAAGCAATAGGTACTGTGTTAATAAATTACTTAGGACCTGTTTCAAATGTCTGATTAAGTTACTTTCAGATGACCTTACTTACTTACTAACTTACCATATTTTGATACAGTTGTTATGGAAAATACCTACATCAAATTATTTTCTATTTCAAAATAGAAAACTATTCAGACATTGTGAAACAGCCCTTAATATTACAATACCTACAAGTTCATTGAAGAAACTTATTTTCCTACTGTTTTGGTAATTAGTTAGACAATAATTGAATTTTGTCAATACAATAATAATTCATTAAATTCAATGAAGCCCTTTCTACTGTAATAATATTTATATCTATTGTTTTCTATCTTTGAAATGTTATTTGTGTTATTGAAACAATTAATTTGCTTCATGTTTAAGTATAATTTATTTAATTGTGACATTTTTGTGTACATCTAGCTTTGTGATAATTTAGTGAAATGAGGTTACAGGACATAAAAGGGCTTGGTTTCATAAAACTTATTACCATATGAATCATCTATAGTATTCAATATGTAATTTGAAAACTAGGCTATGAGTAATGCCTGTTTTAGTTAACTCAACATAATTAAGTCATGTTGATAAAATTGTATGATACTATAATTTACTTTTTAAAATGTAATACACGTTGGAATGTAAACATATATCTTTGAGGAAAAAAGACCAATCTATAAATAAACATGACTATTTTAATCAAACAATAATTGACACACCTAATGTAATAGTGGAATATCAACATATTAAAACATAAAAATAATAAAGAACAATCTAGTTCTAGATATTATTAACAATACTAAAGTTTAATGTAAAAAGAGGTGTCAAATGTTAAGTAATAATAGGTATTACAATATTTCGAGTTTCTGTGGGATGAATGTTGCTCATGAGTTGTGTAAACAATTACATGTATACAGTAAACAAATATTGAATTGAAGGTCCTACTTACTGCTTGCGAAAATGTTGTATTGTCAAGTAAGCTGAAAATGGCATTGACATGGTCTGATAACAATATTGCAAAATAGTCTTTTGTTTACCCAATTACATTCACAGTGAAAATTATTTTAATGCTTGCATTTCATTTTTGTTATACAACATTTTTCCTAGACGTTAAGTTATGCAAATCATATTCAGTATATGGTCTATATATTTACATGCATGATTGTAGAGATGACATTGAGACAAATCAACTAGTTACATAACTTAGGTGTTTACATACTTGGTCAGTAATTATAACTTTATCATTGTATGTTGTTACAGGAAGTTTAAAATATGTTCATCAAAGCTGTTTACAACAGTGGCTGACTGCATCAGAGACGAGGTCTTGTGAACTCTGCAAATTCAATTTCATCATGCATACCAAAATAAAGCCATTTAATGAGGTATGCAATGTTGTTTATAAGTTTTTGTAAACCTTTGTTGTATTATTTAATAGTGAAATATTAATTTACACAATATTCATCATCAGGCCTCTTCAAAGTTATAAGTTAGGCAATGTTAATTGCAAATAATTTGTCAGTGTATAGTTTTTAATTTGGTGCTTCCCCATGTCCTTGAATTTTTCAGGACTTAGTTCATTAGAATAAAGTCATCAAACCAATTTCTCATATATTATGTAGATACAAAAATGCAACAATAGAAATTACAACTTGCATCTATAGTAAAAAAAAATCATAGGGCGTCAATTATTATAATTAAGTTTATGGCGAAAAGAGAAATCAATTGGTTTGAAAAGTAAACTACATAAAAGAATCCATCCCTATCTATATCAATGGGAAAGGTGCCCAGAACGCTGGCAGCATTGCCACGTTGGATGGCAATGCTGATTCGTTGACAAAAGAAAAGCCCGGCCCTCTGGTCACGCGAAGAGTCGACCAGCCGTTTACTGATATCTCGAACAACACGATGAGCGCATGTAATTTCCGACAAGGTTATTATATTTGTGCTGCTGAGGGTTTCTGCACTTGCGGCAGCCGCCCCAGCACAACCTGCCGTAGTCAGAAGATGAGATGGCGAAGGGTATCGACACATGTTGCAAACCAAACGGCTGGTCGACTCTTCGCGTGACCAGAGGGCCGGGCTTTTCTTTTGTCAACGAATCAGCATTGCCATCCAATGTGGCAATGCTGCCAGCGTTCTGGGCACCTTTCCCATTGATATAGATAGGGATGGATGGATTAAAATAAGTGGTGTGACAAACGAGAAAAAAAATCCTGTTTGTCATACTGGTGTGATAATCTGGTGTGACTATGAGTCGGTAAGGAGAATTATGAATAACTGCAGTTAAAAATATTCAGACAGATATAAATTGGAGGTTTTATTTAGCTTAAAAATAAGTAACTATTTAAATGATGTATCTTACAATAGACAATAACAAGGTATTTAGAAGTCTATCAATAGATGTAAACAAAATATTTGAGTTTTAGTGTGATTAAATAAAATCAACATAATAATAATATATTTGGTCTATAATTGAACCAGTTGATATTTAGGCAAGAGACAATTAAGAAATTTTTGCTATAGTAAAATGCCATTGTTTTGTTTTTGTATTCTAGTGGCGTTTGTTAGAGATGTCTGGTGTGGAGCGCCGGAGACTGTGCTGTGCTGTACTGTTCCACTGTGTCGCTGCACTCTGCGTCATGTGGTCCCTCTTTGTACTTATTGAACGAGCCGTAGAAGAGGTCAACCGTGGGATGATTGGTATGGAATTATACTAACATATTTTAATACACTCTTACATATTTAAACAACTCAACAGTTTTGTTGTCAAGATCCATTCTCATCACACTTTCGATTTTCGATTTCCAGGTCATTCAGGCTAGGAATTCGATAGTTATTAACTAGACAGACTAATAAAATATTATAATGTTCAATTTTATGATTAAACTAACTTGTTCCAGCTTGGCCTTTTTGGACAAAATTGGTAGTTGTGGCTGTAGGATTTACTGGCGGCGCTGTCTTTATGTACATACAATGTCGGCAATATCTGCACCTTTGTAATCGTTGGCGAGCACACAACAGGTAATTTTTTACAACTAATATTCTTTCACATTAGATACTTTTGAAGTACCATGAAGTTTAATAAAATATTTTTGACAGGATACTATTAATTCAAAATGCGCCGGAGAAGATCCCAATCGGAGGTGGATCTCCACCCGTGCGAGTGAAGAGACGCGAGAGAAGCGCGCGCGGGCAAGTGATCGCCAACATCGAGCCGCCGCCGCCACCCGCCGCTTACCACGAGGAGGACGAGAGCGGCGGCTTCGAGACCTACCGCGGCAACCCGCACCGCCGGCTGTCCGCGCTGCCCGACCCGCGCCCCGACGACACGCGCCGCTACTCCGACACGCGCCTGGCGCAGGCGTGCGACGAGGCCGCCGTGTCGCCCGAGCGCGGTGGCGTCTACCACATCAGCGTGGACCCGCTCGAGGCCGACATCCGCTCGCTGTTGGCGCTAGAGGCGCGGCGCGCCGCCCGGGCCGCGCGCTCGCTGCCCAACCTACGCGCCTCGCGCGAGACGTTGCTGCCCACGGCGCCCACCGGCCCAGGCCCCGCGGGCCCCGCACCCGGACCCCCCGCGGCCGGGGCCCCGGCGCCGGCCCCCGCAGCCTCCTGAGGCCCGCTCCTGCTGTACCCGGATGACACGGTGTACTAGCGGGTACTAGCGGCGTAGTGTGCGAAGTGTGCTTGGTGCGTGTACATACTGACATGGATCTTGTAAATACTTATTATCATAATAATAGTTCAGGCGTCGCTCGTTAAGGCCACCGCAAGACCGCCCGATAGATACTTATTCCCTGTCCTTGCATTTTGTACCATAACGTCCATATGTGTACATAGCGTAAACAGATTTAACTCCATGTTTTTCGTGATAGCAATATTAAGTAATTAAGGTTTGATAGTAGACCGCTTGCAAAATATAATTAGTAGGTAATAGGTATGATACTGTTGCCAGTTACCTTGTAGAAAATTGTCCATATTCTTTAATCCAATCATACAATATTTCTTAAACTTACTCCAACTTTCCAAAACCCATTTTAATGAAAACCATGCTTCTGACGTTCGATACATAATTTACAAATCCATACTAATATCTTCATGCGAAGTATGCTGAGCATGTGCTACGAGTATGAGAGATTTTAACGCTAAACTTGATGAAGAATGATACATCAAACTATAATATCCAATAAGTAGATATCTCAGGTTTATATTGGATTTGTGTAGAATGATGTACCATCGCTTGAACACTCGTGACTCATGCGTAGCGTCGTTTGCTTTAAAGTCAAACATTTTACTACTAAGCTTCATGTATTTAGAGTCCTTATTAATCTGCTAGATTTGCGAAACTAGATACTGAGCTGATAGTATTGTCAAATCAACTGCATTTGAAAATAGTGAAATTAAATTCCACAAGAAAATGTATGTGTGTTTTCTATGTGTAGATTAGACATTCATATACTTTTAATAAGTACATCAATTATTCAATACTTTGTCATCGCGGGATACAAGATCTTAATACTGTTGTCAAACTAAACTTTAATCTTCCATTATTGTATTTTGTTCTTTCGGAGCTACAAATGCAATGTTTAGCAACTATTGCTAGATATATATTTTTCTCTAATTATTATTTGGGACCGTAGTTCAGTCAACTTTATTTAAAACACCCTTAAAATATTGTTCTTGGAAGTATTATTTGTAAGTCTTGTGAAAATTTAATATTGTGTTTGGGGTTTTCGATACTTGATTGGTTGTGCCACATGTTCGGACTCGTATATTATAAACTTGTCCAACAACATCGCAGTGTGGGTTATCAATGATAACCTAAACCCAATTGATTAAAACATTGATAACTTATCATTTATTGGGATTTATCAAAGGAAATTAACAATGGCCTGTTCAGTATACTTACGTCCTCGATAATTATGTGGCACTTGTATTCACACTGCCATTATGAGAAAACAAGCTTATAAAACTACGAACTTGACGTGCGTCTCCCGCGTCGAATTTAGGAGATATTTTGCGAGTAGTGCAAGAATATTAGGATAAAAGTAACCTATGTCAGTCTCTGAGAAGTAAACTTTCTAATAGTGAAATAATTTCTCAAATCGGTCCAGTAGTTTCTGTGTTTATTCAATGCAAACAAACAAACAAACAAAAATAATTCCTCTTTATATTATTAGTATAGATTGATTTTTATTCTAAAGTAAATGTTGTAAATAGGAGTTCAATTAACTCCATAAAAAATTATATGAGGTAAATCTACACATACTTTTGGTAATTCCAAATTATTATTTCGCGGTTTAATTTTAAGTCAATTAAAATTAGGTACCTACCGTGTGTTCTCTGTCCAATTTTCCGCCTATCATAAATAAATTGCAACGCAACAACATAGGTGGGTACCTCCCAGCACCTTATTATTCAGTTTGTGACTTTCTTTTCTTAAATATATAGGTGCCTATGAAATTACCAGGCCTGTAGGTGCCTATCAAATTACCTGTCAAATGTGTACCCAGTCGGCTCTCAAGGAGCCCGCGCGCTCCCCGCAGACTATCTTAAAAATAAACTTCAATAACAATTTATAACTATCAAAAGATAATTAACAGTCGCGCAGCTTCCACGTTGTATCATAAAATATAAAATAAAGTCCAAAGATTTTATAATAATCATTTTATGACTGATCACTCTGTCATAATTCTAGTGAGTCAGATATATCATCGCGTGTTCGATGTTTTATTATTTCTGTTTTTTTCTTATCCTATTTCAACTGTTTAGAATATTTCCGTACAACAAATGCTACCTATATTTCTTTATCTAGGCCAGTCATAATTATTTTGCCGCTGCCTGCGTGTGTGTATGAATAGGATTTATTGTATCACAACATGTATTGTAGGCTGGTATAATGCTTTGCGAAGGGACTGGTGGAAAATAAACAAGTCACATGTGTTTCTATACATGGACATATGTATCGTTAATTCTTTGTTACCTTTAATAATTTTAGATCGGATTTCTAAGTTTACTCAAGTCCCGCCGATATGTAAACAAAACTGTAATTGCTGTCACCAAACTTAATTATTCCGTCTTATAAATTAAAAGTGCAATATTCGCTATGTATACGGATACGAGCGAGCCTTCCAAAAGAGGCTCAAAAATGAAAAAAAAAATGGAAAAACTAATTGGTCCTAAAGCAAGAAAAAAAACAAAAACGAAATAGGAACAGTTTTGATTGTAGTAAGATGTTTCTAAAATAGCTAGTACTTTTTATTGACAATATTGTGTTGTATATTCTGCACTACTGGTGCATTTAGTTAAGAAGTTAATTTAAATGTTGACTTGTTTTTAATTCAGCCCTAATAGTCTTGAAGAACACATCCATGACACCAATCTGATGATCTGTTTATGTTGTAGACTGTCTCATGGTGTCTGTCGTGTTTGAAACCATCCCCCAATTTATTCTTAAAATAATGTTGAGTACTGCCGGTCCAGTGCTAGGCGTCTCTTCTTGACTACATGTATAGGGTGTTTTAAATACACCCATCACATCTAGTGTATGTTGTCTCCCAATCATTAAAATATGTTTCAGCTTAAGGTTTAAAATGGTGCCATGTTATTATCTTCTTTTTTTGTCTTATTAGTAAATCATCTTGTTCCTCTATGTAAATACAAGTTTTTATTTCCTTTATTATATCTTTAATCACATACAAATTTACTACCGTCACTTTCACTTAGATACTAATTGTAAAAGTAAGAGTTGTTCAATTTCTAAGCCGTACATTTATTGGCCAAATTAATGTTCATGTTTCATTATGTACTATAGTTAGCCGAGTATCAGTGTTTTTGTATACCAATTTAAATTACATCCAATTCAAATAGAATGATCAGTTTTTATTAAACATTTAACTGGAATTTTAGTGCATATATTAATTAAAACGTAAACATCGCTATTGAATTTTAGGTAGATAGTGTTTAAATAAAATAGTTCGGACTTTGGTGCTAAATAAAAATGAATATCAGTCCAAAATTAGGTAACATATATTTTAGTACGCAAGAAATAGTTGATGAAATGTCCTAGTAAAGTCATAGTTTTCTTTAGATCGGTGTGTATAACGACGTGAACATTCCAAACTTATATGTTCGACTTAAACACGTACGTTCATATTTATTAGTTGTGCAATTGACAAGCGTAACATAATTCTTGATGATGTAACACAAAAACCGGACTGTTTACTTCCACGGCATGAGAGTGTGCCATACCTATGCATTTTGCTTTATTTTCATTCTGTTAGTATCAACATTAAAAATGCCTTCATTTACGTATAACTTTTCGATACAATACAATTGAAACTAGTCGTTTTCATTGATTATTATGTATATACACTGCATGTGTCCAAACACTATTGTTTCTGTTTATAATAAAATTGTATCATCTCTTTTGTCTCAACTTTATTAGATATTTTACTCATATTAATTATTCATGTTGTATATTGTAAATTTATTGTATAATGGCTAATTATAACTGAAGTATGGTGATGAATGGTAAGTCTGCTGTGTGTGCAGTGAACGAATGCTAGATGTATTTGCAGGGTGCTTGGGGATGAATCTTAACGTTACATGCGTATTATGCACTTACTTTCGTGTACTTACATTGTGTTTACATATCACATAAAATAAAAACGAAATTTAAATTCTAAAGCTCTTGTAAATAATCGCTTGGAAAATATACGATCTCAAAGCTTGTAACAAACGTCCATCTCCATGAGTCTCGCGTGCTACGAATGCTTATTCCAGGGTTTTGTTTCAAATGAAATAAAGTAGTGCCTTATTTGATGTTCTTTGCACTTATAATTATTTCAAAGATTGTAACAAAGACATTACTTAATGGCTATTTGATTTTTCTTTGGAGTCAAAGCAATAACATCGGTCATCGTTAGAATGACATGTAACAAATGGTTGAACTAGATGTAAGTGTGCTAGCACGAGACGCCACCCTAGTCTGTATAATGTGATTTGTGATATAAGTTATTAGTGTTATTTGTTTGCTCAAAATTACTTTCTCCTTTCGATCTGTGTACTTATGGTTCATGAAATTTGTAAGACTGTATTTTATTTTGTTGTGTAATATCGTTAGTAAACTTCGGGTTATGAATATAGTTATTTTGAAATTAATCTTGTTATTATTAACCTTTCAGTTTGTATATAATGTACTTTGAAATAAAACGATTATAAATTAATAAAAATAAATTATTTATTTAAGGTTGATCGAATTTCATTCTCGTGGGTACGACCGGAGCTCTGATCGCAGTGACTAGACTGTACACTCAACATTTCTCATAAGTATTCATAAACAATATATTTCTGTTTAAACAGAAAATCAACACTTAGTAAATAAACATTACATTTCTACTTAATGTAAATATAAATTATATCACTAATACTCGAGTATTAGAATAATTAAATCCACCGAAAAATAATATTACACACTGCCAGGAGCATATTACAATAGCTTCCTAAAATTAATTTTGTTAGTCTTATCGTTGCTAACCCAACAAGTCATTACGTCTAATATTGTCTGGCGCCTGCAGCTAACCGCCGTAAACCATTATAAAAATCAGTCCATTGTACTATGACGACAAACTAGGCCATTAGGAATACAGTCTACACGGATCGCAAGAATATAATATTGCGAAGTGACTGAGGACGGTTCGTTTTGTCGTATTCGATTCAATTTGACTTTTAAGAAATATGGCGAGTATTTTATAGTTGTTTATTTGCCACAATGGTTAGGAACTTAGCCCTATGACGGTAGTGTATCGCGTGCGAGCGGTGCGCCGCTAGAACTCCGTGTCACCGAGCACGTTGTACATCAGGCGTTTGAATGAGTTCGACTGTTGAATGTGCTCTTCGTGTAAGGAGTTCACCTGGAACAACCGTAACATTATAATATTAATACAAAGAATTTGAATGCCAGTCATGGCAACTTCCGATGGATTTTATGGTCTCTTGAATTTGATTAGACTCAGTGCTGACATCTAGGAAGAAGTTATAACTTACGAAGGTCGTTTGTTTTCCTTTCGGCTTCTCTTCAGGCTTAATTGGTCTCGGAACTGGCTTCTGAAATGTTTTTTGTTGTTTATAATTTTGTTGTGATTATTGAGGATACTAAGAACTTACTGGAAGCAATGTCAACTTCGGATAAAAATTAGACAGAAGTTTTGTTTGGACTAACTTATTGAGTCACTGAAGCCGTTGTAGGCAGGCAAGTATGAGTGAGTACCTTGTTGGCGGGCGCGGTGAAGACCTTGGGCGTGACGGGCGTGGGCACCTCGTGCAAGTCGCCGGTGATGCCGTCCTCCTGCAGCGCGCGGAATGTCTCGGAGCGCGCGGGGTCGTACTGGACGGTGGGCTTGTGACTGCCGCGCCGGGTTAGGGTTTAGTCGGCGGTAGTGTTAGCGGGCGCAACACAATCAGAGACAGAACACATTAGATACGACTCGAAGGACGTTAGAGGGACGCGGAAGCGGTTAGTGAGTACGGAAGTTTAGTTTTGTTTATTTTTCAGGAAGGAAAGGTCGATAAAAATACTAACATTAATTATGTAGAATAAGTCCTCTACCTTAATAATATTATTTAGCTCAAGTATATAAATAAGTATAAATAACTTAAGACTAGTTTGTGTATAGTGATGGCCACACTGGTCGCGATGTAGTCGCGTGATCGTGGGCTCCGACACGGCTGGCAACATGTCGACGTCGTCACCATGCTTGACGGTAAGAACTGAGCGTGAAGTGAAAGAGACCAAGACGGCAAGATACGAAAAGAGCAAAATAAAAATAAAGAAAGCATTAATGCATCATGAGGATGGGCGTCGACTGTTGTTTTGGCGGCGTTCTAGTAAAACACTTGCCTCTTGACAACGTGCGGCCGCCCGTAATGGCCGTTAGCGCTAAGTAAGCAAAGAAATACTCCATTATTATATTGAATTTGATATTCACGCAATGCCCCGGGGTGTTTCTTGTATTTGTTATGTGTATTGTACATGTAGGTACCTAGGTTTATTGCAGCACCACACTGAAAGTACTGGAATAGTCACCAAGTCCTGTTTGCTTCTATTGCATAGCGGCAAAGCAAGGGATATTCCAAATAATTATTAAAGAAAACGTATTTACAGAAATTCCGTCACTTTGACAAGTACATCTGGTTATGTAACGGTTGTTTTGGCAATCGTCCATGTTGTTCAAATTCATTGCCAAGATATGCGTAGTCTGAGATGACTGATGCTACATTTACTTAACGTTAGCTAACTGTAAGTCTTGTACTATCTCAGTACGGGGCAGATGGCCCTTTAAACCAGTCTATAATAGCTGGAGTCAGTGCGGGTCCTCTTAGCATAAGGCCAAAAGGAAATAACTTCTAATAAAAATATGAGAAAACTGTCAGTCTATGCAGATACTCACGGCAACGGCGAGGTCTGTTGCCTGATAGAGTTAGCGATGTTCTGTTCCGAGTATAGATTGATCGGCGAGTTGAACTGCTTGTGCACCACCTGAAGAGATACGAAACCATAATTAGTACAACTGGCCAATAATTCTTCACTGTACAAAATAACAATCATTAAATGTGTGAGAGAGCAGCTACAACATCTCAATACCAAAAAGTTAACACACCAATTGTTCACAGTTAAACATTTCATCGGAAAATATTCAGCAATGTTTCAATTTTAAATAAACAAAAAATGTAAACCGATATCAAACGTTTCGTGACAAGGCTGTTTTTACATAAAAATAAACGCACTGAAAACTGTAATTCTTAAAAAAAAAACAAAGATTTCGGTTAACATTTTATGTAATAATTTGGGTAAGTAGTTACTCTCTTATATTGATGAATGAAAACGATATCAAGTCATAAAAGCTCAAACAAGATGGCGTATAGACACATGAGTTCATGAGATTGACGATACTTTGCAAGAGACATTTAGTAGAATAACAAAATTATCTAAATAAATAAGGGTAAATGATAATATATTTGTGTATGCAATTGCAAGGTATCGTTTGATCGACCGGCTTCGTATCGGAAGTTTGTCGCTGTCATGCTCGAAGCAGACACAGTCCACACAAGTCAATAACTGCACCACCTTGTTCGCTTCTTCGCCAACCACTCGCTGCAACACCGACTCTGCCACCTGAGTTTTTATGAAAAATACTATTGTTGTACTATACAATCCGTGCGCTACATTTATTATTGTCGTTAATTCTTTATGTGGAGTCAACAAGAAGGAAGATCTTTTGTATTATAACTGTTACGAGACGTATTAAATTAATTGTGATTTACAACTAGTTTTAAGTCACGATAGGGACTCATATTCATGAACGTGACATTAGTAAATAAGCCTTAAAGCATAGTCATTAAGGAAGATTTTAGAAAGATCTTTTTCTAAATTTCAATTTTATAGGAATTATATTCTTCTGCAACATCTTTATTTACGTTATAAGTAACTCCCTTCTTATTTCTCTTTATATGCGTGTAACATATACATTTCATTTTCTGTTTGCTTTCTTGCTGACAGTTTTAGTATGAGACAGTGAACTGTATGTGTGTACGTGCAATGTTTGTGCGTGTATTGTGTAGCGTGCAACATCTAATAAGTAATGTATCTACAAAACTGCATTATTATTTTTCGAGAGCTTCTAAAACTAGTAAAGAAGGCTTACTTAAGCATTTCTTATAGTTATTTATCTTAGCATTGGAGAGACTAAATAGGTATACTAAATTGTCTAATATCAAAAATGTCACACATCGCTGTAAAAACAGCAAAGCTTCTTGTCTCGTTACATTTGACAATTAAATATGTTTCACATTTTATAGCACATTATTTCTAGCAATGCGTATAAAAATATAAGTTGATTCAGCGGTGTAACGCCACAGACGAGTGGGAATATTTCTACCGCGTGGGACGGGGATCGTGGAAAACGTTATAATGGATCCAACATACTTCTTATATAGGTATCTCCTTATTATTATTTTCTAAGAAAGTATTTTAACTGCTCTCAAGATTAAAGGCACTTATCTGTCTGTGAGTAACTGCAAGGTTGGTTCTGTGTTTATTGGTTTGTGCTAGAATCATTTACAGTGAAATTTCACGAAAATGGTTTGGAACATTGTAATTTACAATTTGTGTTTTGAAACTATGCCAGCTACTTATGCTGGAATACTGAAACGTTACTCAATTTTAAGTCGTGCTCAAATATCGTGCCATCTCTGTCATTTTACAAAGAATTTGTAGAGATAGAACTATACTTAAGCACGACTTAAAATTGAGTAGCGTTTCAGTATTCCGACATTAAACTCACATTTCAACAGCGAATCAAAAATGTTTATAAATGGTTTAATTAAAATTTCATTTCATATGTAGTAAGACCTAGAATGGTTTCTTGTGGCATTCCTTGTTTTCGTCGATCGCAAAACTATTTAGAAATCCGTTTGCTTTGGGTTTTTAACTTTATACATCCGATAAGTCATTTGTAATACAAACTTCTGTATTAGACATGTAAAAGTAATGTACAGATATTCAACGCTTCACGTTACCGTATCAAACGCTAGAGACTGATCAGAGAAATTACGATCCTTTTTATTACGATAAATCAAGTATGTTGGTGTTACCTTCTGTCTCATAAGGGTGTCGCGGTAGTCGTGGCTGGGAGGCGCACGCATAGCGGGGTTGGGGTGGTGACGCAGGTAGCTCTCCGTGGGTCCAGGCTCACGTCGTACCTTCGCGCCGGGCAGTACCAGAGGTGTCGTGCGGTATGGCTAAAAGTTAATTAAAAGTATACATTTAGTAGATGGAGGATCAGATAAAGTTTTTGACTTCAAACCTAACAAATCCATCCTAATATAATATTGTTGCCTCATTTTCACAGCCAAATAATATATTATGCGAATCCTATTCATGTATTTCCAGCTCTGTTATGTATTTGTGTTACTCATCGTTATGAGTAACACAAATTGCAATCCAACCAATGTTTTAAATATTACATCGTTATGTAATATTTAAAACATTGGTTGGATTGCAATTTATATCCAATCTTGTAATAGTAAATGGAAAGCCAATGATGTTAGCATGAAATACACAACCATGATCTAGAATAGTTGGCTCACATCACACGC